CCTCTCAGAGCACTTCACTAAATGCCATGTCTTGTAGTGAGAGGCAATAATAGTGTGGGGGGTTTTTTTAAATGTATTTATTTTAGGAAGATAATCAGCTTCTCTGGCCAGCTGGTGCCTGCAGAGCTCTCCATGGGCTGTGGGAAAGGGGCTGCTGCTTGTTTTGCTGTGGAATGATGGTTTATTAATAATAGTTTGAACTGAAAACTATGCAGGGATGTGATGTGGGTTTGTGTTTGCTCTTTTGCTCCATCCCCAGGAATGGGGACAAATGCTCCCACCCAGAGAGAGGAGGCTGGAGAGGGAGGGAAGGGGGCTGCCCTTTTCTCCTGAGCTCAAATTCCTCCTGCCACTGGCTGGGCTTCCCACTGTGGCAGGAGTTTTTGGAATAGGTTCATCCCCCTCCATCTCCATTGCTTGATTTAATCCAGGAATGGATGCTACTGGGGGAAAAATAATCCTCCAAAACCCAAAATTTGTGCTGAGCACAATGGTTTGAAAAGCAGGTGAGGGAAAGTAGCTTATGCAGTTTATAAACCTGATTTTGCTCCAGAGAGCTCCCTGGGTCATCATGTGGGCTTGTCACCATAGCACACCCCTGTCTGCTCTCCTGATTAAGAAAACCCACAAAAAACCTAAGATACAGTTTATTTTCCTGTGGTTTTTGGCAGCTCCTTATCTCTCTGGTTATTAAATTGCCCCCTGCTCTGTGATAAGGGGCAGGAGAGAGAAGACATCCCATTGCTTCTCCTCCAAAGTTCTGTGCTCTCATGTTGTCTTTGGGTAAACACTCATCCTTTGCTTGCTCACCCAGGCAATGACCTCTTGTTGAACACTTAGATTGGACATGAGGAACAATTCCTTTCCTGAAAAAGTGGTCAGGGATTGGAACAGGCTGCCCAGGGCAGTGGTGGAGTCACCATCCCTGGAGGTGTTCAAAAAATGTGTAGACATAGCACTTCAGGAGATGGTTCAGTGGGCATGGTGGTGTTGGGTTGATGGTTGGACTTGGTGATCTTAGAGGTCTTTTCCAACCTTAATGATTCAGTGATTCCCAAGAGTTTGGGAGGCAGAAGCAGTGCCATTGATCTTAGAATAAAAGATAAAGTTGTGTTTGAGGAACCCAACATCACCCAAGCAGTACAATGTGGGCTTTGGTGGGAAACCTCTGAGCAGGGAGGTCTCCTTCCCCATCCCTGCTCAACTAGGAGCAGAGCTTTCCCAAGATCTGAACACCCAGCTAGGGTTTTCTGGGAATCTGGGAGTATTTATGGCAGCTCCTCATCTACTCAACAGCTTTTGCTGGTCCTAACAGTCCAGGTGATGTCTGCATGGAAAACTGAGGGGTCAGAGGACAAAGATGGTAGGAGGTTGTGTGTTTCTGGGTGGAGATGTTGCCTTCCTGGCTGCAGGGAATGTTGCCTCTTGCTTAAATGTGTCGTTTGGTGCCACCCTTCTTGTGTCTGAAATGACATATTAAAAATACAAGACAAATCTGGAAAGGAGGGAGATGAAACCATCAGGGTGTTACAGCCAGATGGGCATTTTGGCCTGGATTCACATTTGCCTCTGTTTCCATTGCAGGCTCAGACATCAAGCACACAAAGAGCTTTACGCCTACAAACAGGTGAGATGATGCTCAGTAAGTTGTCTTCTTCGTTGGAGTGGTCACTCCTGCAGGTTTTGGTTGTGCTGTCCTTCTTGGGAGGCTTTTGGTCTTCATCAAGAAGCTGTGATGCCCAGGCAAACTTCTGTCCCCACTGATTTAATTTCTTCCTACCAGCTGGGCACCCCAGGAGCATCTCTCACTCGTTAGTCTGCAGGTCTCCGTGTTTTCAGACGAGGTTCCTGAGCGGTGGGGACATCTCCACCCTTGGAGCACCTCAACTGGGCAGCCTCTCCAAACCCTCACCGTATTTCCTGCTGGTGAGCAGTAATGCTGGCACTTCCTCAGCAATCAGATTATGGTTTTTGGGGTCCAGATTTGCTCCCAGGGTTGGACCCAGCTGCTCTGGACAACCTGCAGCTGTGGGGGCTCACGTAGGGACCTCTCATAGGAACCTTTCATAGGAACCACCTCCACAGCACCTTGGCACACCCAGCTGTTTGCTGTGTGCACCCACACAGGCCAGAGCCCTCATTCAAACACACCCAGCTGAGGGGTGGGTGTCACCTTGCAGCTTCCACCTCCCGTTTTCTGCAGGGCTTGTGGATTTGTTCTCCCTCTGATCTATGTCTGAGCAGGAGGCTGGCAGGAGTTGGGCTGATAGGAGAACACCTGGTCATCCTGGACTTATAACCCTCTCCAGGTGTCCTGCCTGGATGGAGTGAAAATGAAGTGGCAGGAGCTTGTCACAGAGTGCGGGAGCCTGGGAGGTTAAATCTGGGAGGAGACATCTTGGGTTTGGTTCTGGTGTTAGTGGCTGCAGCTGTGGCAGCTCTGCCTTCCTGCTCTGTCTGCACAGGGGTGAAGATCTGATGTGCTCCATGGATCTGCTGGGTTTACTGGGGGATTCCAGTTCTACTGGGGTGTTAGATGGGAGAGCTGTGTGAGGTTCTTCCTGCAGGAGCTGTGTCCTGACCCAGCTCTGTCTCTTACAGGTTATACTCAAGGAAAAGGTGAAGGAGCTGAACCTACACGAGGTGAGTACATCCCTGGGTCTCCTGCACCCTCCTCTTCCTCATGCTGGGGAGGGGATGGGGTCAGGCAGAGGCTGGCACAGGCAGGAAGGTGCCAAAACTCAAACCTAACTCCTTCAGGAGCACCAGGCACAGCAGGGTTTGCTGTACTCCTCCCCTGACAGGGGCAGGGTCACAGCTGAGCCAGCAGCTCTGTCCCTCCCCAGCACTGCTTTTCTCTTTCTAATTGCTCCTTCCTGCAGCCAGTAAAGGCACATCTGCAAAGTCAGTCTGAATTAAACCACCTCCCTCCACTTCCTGGGTCCCCTCTGGCTTTTATTGCTTGTTATTGTTATTATTTACAATATCATTGTTATTATTTGTCACATTCTTACTCTTTTCTGCATGATTATTATTATTTAATGTGCTCTTTTAATTATCTGCTGCGTTATTGTTATCACGGTGACAAAAAGCTGTGGATAAAAGGGGAGGCAGATGCAGGCTGGGCTGTTACAGTGTCCCTTGGTGGGTTGTCCCCTCCAGTCCTGACAATTCCAAGCACATCCCTGCAGGCCACTGTCCTCAGGCAGAGGAAACTGCTGGGATTGAATTGAAATCAAAGGTAAACATGATCTCCTCAGGATCCTGCCTGTCATGCTCCTGCTTTGCAGGAAAGAGCTGGCTGGAAGAGGCAGGCAAAGGGGGTCTCCATGGATATGTTAAGAATTAAAAACCATTTTCCAGCCCCAAAACTGCAGGGGTTTCTTGTCAGGTGCAGGAGGAGGGCAGAGCCTGTGGCAGCCATAAAGCAAAGCCCCAGTGGATTTTGCATCTAAACTTGGCATTTAAACAACTTTGCATTTAAACTTGCTTTTAAACTCAGTTTCAAACTGTGGCAGCCACTGCCCCTGCTGTGGAAATGGCTCCTCTAGGTCACTCTTGTAGTCACCAGATAAGAGGATCTCCAGAGGCTGAAACAGGTCTTGAACTGTTACCCAAATCCACCTCTGCCTTCGTGCCCCGGGAGGTGTAAGACCCAGGAGCTGCTCACCACAGGTTTCCAGGCTGGTTTGGGGCTCAGTGTCCTTATTTACTGACCCATTTTTTCTGCTGAAGTTGAGCAGGAACCTGCTGGAACCTCACTCCAAACCCAGCCTGGATTTATTTCCCTAATGATAACAGAAATGCCCACCAGCATCCCAGACGCGAGTCCACTCCTCTGTTAAATACCAGCTCCATTTGTTTATGGCCACTTTTAAAAATTATTTGTAAATAATTGAGCAGAGCAACAAGAGCCCATCCCATGTTTCATCCTCACCCTCTGCTCCCTGCAGCCGAGGGGTGAAATCCCAAGGGCAGGAGGGCCTTGTTCCTTCTGATGGGGTTACTTCTGATCCCCTCCCATGAAATTCCCTTGCAGCCAGGTTTTTGATGTCACACAGACTTAAAGCACTTCCCAGGGCAAGATGCTCGTTGCAGGAGGGATTTGGGAACACGATGGAGCTGGGAATGACAATGATAACCCTCTGTCCTCCTCCATCTCTGTTCCCAGCTCTCCCAGCCCCACCATTTTCAGGGAGGATGAGGCAGGGGGGGATAGAGCAGCTCGAGCTCTTTGGGAAAGGCTGGAAAGGATTTTCTCTTGTCTCCCTCTAAAATATCCCTTTTTGGGCATTTGGATGTTGGTATTTACAGTGAGCAGCTCTGGAAAGCAGAGCATGGTGGGGTGTGTGTGTGTGTGGGGTGGGATTTTGCAACATCCCGGGACGGTTTCCAAGGCTCTCCCGGAGCCTTGCGGAGGGAAAGTCCCAGCCGAGCTCCTCAGCCCCGTGTTTCTGGGCTTGTTTTGCCTCTTTTTTTTTCCATCACGCCGCCTCTCCCAGGCTTTCACGTGGCTCAGGATGTGTGTGTGTGTTCCTCGGGGACCCAGGCGAGAAGCTGAGCCAGTTAAAAAAGTCTGGGATGAGCTGGAAAGTATCGCCGGGTGCCACGTTCCCGGGAAAGCCGGGAGCCTCCCGCGCTTGCCGGGCTGCCTGGCTCATCCCAAGGGATTTTGGCAGTGGGGCTGGCCCTTGTTTTCGGACTGCTGGAGACTCCCAAGCCAGAGGGGCTGGGAGAAAAAGAGCCAGGAATAGCCAAAATTCCCAGGAATATAAAAAATCAGTCAGGAAAACCTGGTGGCTTGGGAGCGGAAGGAGATTTTAACTGGGAAAACAGCCACTGCTCTTCCCAGCCCTGGGGTAGAGGTGCTGCCTTTGTCTTTTCCCAGAGTTATCCCTGTGGATGCAGCTCGGTCCCAGGGATCAAGCAGCAGTGTGGATCTGCCCCCCTGCAGCCCAGAGCCTCCTGGCACATCAAAACACCCCCCAGCTTTTGAGATGCTGCTCTTGGAGACTTCAGGGTCCCCTCCACCAGGAAAGGAAGACCCCAGCCCCAGCTGGTGATCCCAAAGCCTGAGCAGCAAAGTCTGGGAAGGCTTTAGGGGGAATTTTCCCCCCTCTGGGATGGAGAAACCTCCCAGACATTTGTCATGCAGCATGGGAGGGGGCAAAAAAAAAAAAAAGCACCTTCTTGATCAAAACAGAGGGTTTCCAGCAGAAGAGCAGGTTCCTTCCTGTGTGACACAGGCAGGGACTTCTCTCCCCACCCCCAAGTATCCTCACTGTATCAGAAACCAAATTGCCCCTTCCCCCCCCAACAACCAAAGGCAGGGCAGGGCAGATGGAAGCTGGCTGAGGATACTGCTTAGAGGGCAGGTTTTTGGGGGGTTCTGTTTTGTGCCCCAGCCTCTGACTGCCCCTCTCTCCCTGCCCTCTCCCACCTCTCAGATCTGCGCCGTTTGCCTGGAGGAGTTCAAGCCCAAGGACGAGCTGGGGATCTGTCCCTGCAAACATGCCTTCCACAGAAAGTGAGTCTGGGCAACAGGGGAGGGATGTTGGGCTGCCCCAAAGCCAGCCCTGCAGCCTGGGGAGGCTCCTGGCTGCTGCCACTGCTCCTTTCCCGGGGTTTCTTCCCACCACAGTTCCAGGAGAATGAAGGGAATTGCAGCCAAAGCACCTTGTGGAATGAAGCTGAGTGTTGGAGCAGCAAAGAGCCTCTTGTGAGATGGCAAAGCCACTTCTCTTGAGATATATAGAGGCTTTATATAGTCCAAAGTGCCTTTGTGTGTGCATGTTTTACATAGTCACAGACATAAAATGTATGTATTTACAAATATAAAATGCATAGATACTTATAAAACAGATTCAGAACCACGGGAACAAGCTCCCCAGGGAAGCAGTCACAGCCCTGAGCCTGTTGATGTTTGAAGTGTTTGGACAAGGCTCTTGGCTCTGGGGTTTAACTTGGAGGTTGCCCTGTGAGGAGCCTAGAGGTGGCCTTGATGATCCTCATGGATCCTTCCCAGCTCAGGATAGTCTGTGAAAAACGTACAGATATACATGTTACGTAGAGATGTATTTTATAAAAATGTAAACCACTCTGAATTCTATGTGGATAATATATATATATGCAGACATTATATCTACAATGGATATGAAATGTCTGGTAAATACAATGCATATGTACATTCTATAGAAGATCTATTTATGAAAGTCATTTATTCACAGATCCCTTTTTTGTGTATATATGCATTGTGTGCACGTCAGTGTGTGTGTGTGCACGTGTTTTTATCTGGTTTATAAATAGATGTACATTTTATATCTCAAGTATATGCAAACAAAAAATCCATGTACACACACACACCCAAATGCCCAAGTAAAATGTCAAGGCAATAAAATGGCAAATTAAAAATTTGGCAGCACCTCCAGGGAAGGTGGGAACGGGTCTGACTTGCCAGGTGGTTCCCTGGGCTTTGGCTTTTCACCCTCTGGGGTGGCCCCCCACCCTGCAGGGGGCACTGAGTGGGGTTCGGGGGGGGGGGCAGCACCCCTGTCCTCACCCCCCCCGTGTCTGTGTGTCTGTGTCCCCCCCCCAGGTGCCTCATCAAGTGGCTGGAGGTGCGGAAGGTCTGCCCGCTCTGCAACATGCCGGTGCTGCAGCTGGCCCAGCTGCACAGCAAGCAGGACCCCGGGCCCCCCCAGGGACCCCTCCCCGGGGCTGAGAACATCGTATAGCTCCACCCTCCCGGGGACTGCCCCACCGCCCACCCCGGGGACTCGGAGACAACCAAAGCACTGCGGCACGGAGGGGCTGGGGCGGGCCCGGACACTGCCGGCCCTGCGGGGAGCCTGGAGCACTTTAGAGGCCCACGGGGAAAAACCCCGCGCCCCACAAACCTGTCCCCACCGAACCGGGCCGGGATGAAGGCTCCGGGGTTCGGTTCCTCTCCCGGGGGTCAGGAAGGGGCCCTGCACGACATCCTTCTTCCAGCACATCCCATCTCCTGCAGCGGGAAGGAGCTCCGGGGAAGCGGCACCTCCCAGCCCTGCTGGCCCCACCTGCTGCCCTCGGAGACGCTGCCCAGGATTCACGGAGGGACCCCGCAGCGTCACGGCTGCTTCCTGCCCCTTCTCCTCCTCGCCGTTATTTAACAGAAAAGACACCTTTTGCCTTTGCTAGTCCAACCTGGAAAAGTGGGTCTTGCCCACCCCTCCCCGGGCACAGCGGGGCCGGGGTTTGTGCCTGTGTTGGGTGCTGAGGAGGCACCTGCTGCTCTGGGACACCCCTGGGGAGGTGGCAGGGAGGGTGGAGGGTAATGGTGTGGGGTCTCACGGGCTTTGGTTACCCTCCCCAGGGGGGGCTGCCCCCTCCTCGGCACCACGGGCTACCTCAGCAAGGCCTTTGGTCCCTGCCCTGGGCACCATCCTGGTGTGGACCATC